GAGAGGCAGCAATGTGCATACTCAAAGGCAGAAACGTAGGCACAGGGGGAACTTTTACCCTGAACGTTTCAGCGCCAGCCAAGCAGGGGAGTTTGTGGATTGCAGTGGTGGGATTTAAGCACCTTTGTGGATCTGGGACACAGAGGCTAAATGAGTTGCCCAGGGCCACACTGGAAGTCTGTGTAGAGTAGGGAACTGAACTGCTCAGACCCTAACCCTGTTCTATGCCTGCCACAGACTTTGTGGGACATGTCACTTCCCCCTGCTTTGACAGTTTTCCCAACTGTTTATAAAAAAGGAAGTGCTGTTAGCTCCAGCTCCAGAGTGTAGATTTAACTCACAAATGGGTTTTGAGACCCCCCCGTGGAAGGTGCAAGAGACAGGCACATCCGTGCTTTATGCTCTCTTTTTACTAAGGTTAGTTACTTTGATTTTCTGAATGCTGGTTTTCTCAAAGGGGGAAAAGCAACTTAAACTCCTCACTTGGATTCTGAATAGCAAGTTACATTAAATGGAATTAAAGCACCCTGTGTTAAGAGTGTTAAAGGCCGCGCAGAGACAGGTTGTGTCTAAAAATGCATGTATGGAAAAGCCCAGAGAAGGGCAGGGGAGGTAGGCTAGACGTGTATCGGTGGAAAGGAGGAAGAGTAAAAGGAGATGTGACTGAGGGATTTGAAATAATGAATGGGACACAGAAGGGCAATCAGGCTGCTTTCTATCCACTCTATTACCAAAGGGCACTCCCAAGTAAAAGGCAATAAAACAAGGGATATATTAAATGCCTATCCAAATTTAAAATGGCTAAATACTAGGATACAATATGGCACAAGCCAAAGCCTACTGCAGTCCATGGATGTCCATAGGCTTTGGATCAGGTCCTATGCACAGAGTGCTGCTATTGTGGTAAGCAGCTTAGTGCAGTTCAAAAAGGATCGGTCTTGTCTATGAATGAGTCTAGCATCACAGTACCAGGATCTGGGACAGGAATTACAGATGCTCATGAATGCAATGTTGTTGGAGCTGTGCTTGTCCCAGGATCTTAGAGAAATAAGGTAGGTAAGATCATATATTTTATTGAACCCACTTCTGTTGGTGAGAGAGACAAGCTTTCGAGCTTTGGGTATTACCTCACCCACCTTGTTTCTCTAAGATCCTTATGAAAGCAGATTTAGTATTGCACAACTGGTCAGGTGCAGTCTGTGCAACTGAGTGCATAGTGGTGAGAGGGGCTCATTACCTTCTTCTGGAGCATTCACTGTTGGCCACAACAGGATGCTGGACTGAATAGGCTATTGCTCTGTTCTGCTACACCCGATCCTCGGTCATCCATCTCTTTGCTAGTCAATCCATCTATTCATATATCTGTTCCTCATTCCTTCCCTCATGTGTTTCTTCATGCATCTGTCATCCATTAATTTGCCTTCCCTACTCTCTCTCTGTCCATCCATCTCAATCCTGGAGCACTAAAGTTCCTCTCCGACAGACAGGGAGCTGTGCGGTTGCAGCGGAAGCAGCTGCAGTCGCTCATGTCAAGCCTTGAGCATATAAATCATGCCATCTCAGAGATCAATGCAATGGACCTAATAGGCAGGCAGAATAAATGTGGATCAGAAGCTGCACGGCACGCCTCCCTATGGATAAATGGGAGCTGCTTTTCCCCTGGTAAAATGGCTTTGTTTGTGAGTAAGCCATTAGTCTCTCTCTAAAAACAGAACCAGGAAGCTAATGGACGGGGGTGGCAGGCTCTCAGCCCCTTTGCTGAGGAATGATGGGTCCGTTTCCACCCCATTAGCACCAGTGGGACGCAGATGGTGGCATGTGCCTTGCTGAACTTGTGCTGCAAGACAAATGAAGCCCTCTTCCCCCGCGTTCATTGTAGCCGCTATGGGTAGGAAGAAAGAGGCTGTTCCACGTGGCGCAGGAGTTAATGGGACAGAACAAACACGCGGGCCAGGACTAGAAGTGACAAACCCATTTGGAAGCCATTTCAGTAGCACTGTTTTTTGTAATGTTCATATTTACTTTGAAGCTGTTTTCAATTTTTGGTCTCGCTGGATCATTAGTCTTTTAAATATTATTATGTTCAGTTGTAGTGGGGCATAGCATGGGGAGGAAGAAAGGAATAGAAAGGGAGTTTGCAACGGTGCATTCTGATCTGCCCCCTGCCATGGATTCTTCAGAACTCTGAGGTTCCATCCACCAGTCCCATCCACTGCCAGGGATGCTACGGAGCCCCAAGGGTCCATCCCTCAACTGCCATGGACCCTACGGAGCCCCAAGAGTCCATCCCCCAACTTCCATGGACCCTACAGAGCCCCAAGGGTCCATCCCCCAACTGCCATGGACCCTACGGAGCCCTGAAGTTCCATCTACCAGCCCTGCCAAGTGCCACAGAACCTTCAGGGATCTCAGTTCCCACCTGACAACCCCTTTTGCCGTGCCCAGAGCCATCAGGGTCTCCACAACCCACCTGAAGCCCCTATACCACCTCCAACTGCTATAGGCAAATTTCTGAACAGTGGCTGGCCCCAGTTTACTCCTACCAGAGAGAGGGTCAAGCCACAGACTTCAGATCTCGGTTTTGAACAAATAACAAAAAAGGAAGGGGGTGGGGAGGAAAGGGCAGGGAAGAGGAGAAAGAAAAGGAATAAATCAGAGGTAGTAACTTTAATACACAGCACTGGAAGGAAGGCAGCTTTTAAAAGAGCAAGAGAAAAGCGTGTGGGTGACTGGGCAATGGCACATGAGCATTTTGCAAAAGTCACGGTCCAGTTAACTATCAAAGTCACTGCGTCACCAAGGCAAGTTTCAGGTCCAGTTGTATGGAAACTGTGAAATTCCTGCTGGATTTATTCTTAAAACCATGCTAAGGCATGGAGCTATTCGGAAACATGCACCTGCCACTGAACATCACTGTTCAGTGATGGAAAACAGGAAAATACTAGGGTGGAAAACAGCAGCGGTGTAAAAACACACAGCACTATTATACTATAGCTAAGGACAGGAAGGAAAAAACCCACTTCCAGTTGAAACTGTATTGGGCATTGAAGTATACAGTTGAATGCATTTAGTTAAATTAATTTGACTGGAACAACCCCTGGTAGGAAGGAGGTTGAAGGAATTGGCGGCTGTGATTGCAGAGCCATTGGCCATTATCTTTGAAAACTCGTGGCGAACGGGGGAAGTCCCGGATGACTGGAAAAAGGCTAATGTAGTGCCAATCTTTAAAAAAGGGAAGAAGGAGGATCCAGGGAACTACAGGCCAGTCAGCCTCACCTCAGTCCCTGGAAAAATCATGGAGCAGGTCCTCAAAGAATCAGTCCTGAAGCACTTGCATGAGAGGAAAGTGATCAGGAACAGCCAGCATGGATTCACCAAGGGAAGGTCATGCCTGACTAATCTAATCGCCTTCTATGATGAGATTACTGGTTCTGTGGATGAAGGGAAAGCAGTGGATGTATTGTTTCTTGACTTTAGCAAAGCTTTTGACACGGTGTCCCACAGTATTCTTGTCAGCAAGTTAAGGAAGTATGGGCTGGATGAATGCACTATAAGGTGGGTAGAAAGCTGGCTAGATTGTCGGGCTCAACGGGTAGTGATCAACGGCTCCATGTCTAGTTGGCAGCCGGTATCAAGTGGAGTGCCCCAAGGGTCGGTCCTGGGGCAGGTTTTGTTCAGTATCTTCATAAATGATCTGGAGGATGGTGTGGATTGCACTCTCAGCAAATTTGCGGATGATACTAAACTGGGAGGAGTGGTAGATATGCTGGAGGGGAGGGATAGGATACAGAAGGACCTAGACAAATTGGAGGATTGGGCCAAAAGAAATCTGATGAGGTTCAATAAGGATAAGTGCAGGGTCCTGCACTTAGGATGGAAGAATCCAATGCACCGCTACAGACTAGGGACCGAATGGCTAGGCAGCAGTTCTGCGGAAAAGGACCTAGGGGTGACAGTGGACGAGAAGCTGGATATGAGTCAGCAGTGTGCCCTTGTTGCCAAGAAGGCCAATGGCATTTTGGGATGTATAAGTAGGGGCATAGCGAGCAGATCGAGGGACGTGATCGTTCCCCTCTATTCGACATTGGTGAGGCCTCATCTGGAGTACTGTGTCCAGTTTTGGGCCCCACACTTCAAGAAGGATGTGGATAAATTGGAGAGAGTCCAGCGAAGGGCAACAAAAATGATTAGGGGTCTGGAACACATGAGTTATGAGGAGAGGCTGAGGGAGCTGGGATTGTTTAGTCTGCAGAAGAGAAGAATGAGGGGGGATTTGATAGCTGCTTTCAACTACCCGAAAGGGGGTTCCAAAGAGGATGGCTCTAGACTGTTCTCAATGGTAGCAGATGACAGAACGAGGAGTAATGGTCTCAAGTTGCAGTGGGGGAGGTTTAGATTGGATATTAGGAAAAACTTTTTCACTAGGAGGGTGGTGAAACACTGGAATGCGTTACCTACGGAGGTGGTAGAATCTCCTTCCTTAGAGGTTTTTAAGGTCAGGCTTGACAAAGCCCTGGCTGGGATGATTTAACTGGGAATTGGTCCTGCTTCGAGCAGGGGGTTGGACTAGATGACCTTCAGGGGTCCCTTCCAACCCTGATATTCTATGATTCTATGAACCCACTCCTTACAAGAAGTGCCCTGGGACGCTGTGGTCAGGACCTCAGTTTTATATCTCATGCAAGAGACAGCAGGTCTAGCGGTACTCTTTGCCCCCCAGTATAGCACGGCACTGGTATGCTGGCTTGATACTGACTCAGAGGGAGAAGCGTTACCAATGGAATCATCAGCATCACTTCCTCTAACACCTGGGTGTGTCTTTAACGTTTCCCATCTAAGCGCAGAGTCAGCTTGAGTCTGCTTAGCTTGGGAGGAAAACTGGTAGACGCTTAACCTGAGCTTGTATGGGTTCAAAATGAAAACACCTGTTTTTTCTCCAGATGACTCAACAAACTTTCAAACACTACATCATGTATGGAGTCCACCTGGCTCAAACTCACCTACAGACGTCAGTGCCACGTGGACCAGTGTGACAGTGATGGCATAGTCCCAGACCCATCGCTTCAGCAGAGCAGCAAAGAGAAGGCCGCTGGTGAAGTAGGTCAGTTCCATGGACAGCAAATTCACTAGAGAAATGAGAAGGGAAAACAACCCTTATTCTGGAGTAAAGGCAGATACATCTCACAGCAGGGAGCCCTGGAGGTACAGAGTCCCTGCCCATGGGACACAAAGGAAAAACCTCAAAATTATCCTGGAGTTAATGTTCTGACACAGTTTATTGGAATACAGATTCTGCTGATTCCAGTGGGAGGTACTACCAGTACACAAAGTCCATTCCCATAAGGCAAAGAAATACAGTGCTGTCTCCTCGCAATAGCAAGGGACCACTTCACTGTTTTCCCAGTGGCTGTGCTCACAGTCCATCCCTCCAACCTCACACATCCTGTTCTCTCCCAGTCAGACATTAACACACTTTTGGCCTTGAAAGATCCCTGTGTTTTCATCCATTCCAAAGCGGCCTCATTGCCCCACACCACTTACCCAGATATTTGGGATTTGAGTGAGATGGTTCTGTGTTAAATTCAAAGGGGATAAGTCCATCAAATGTGTCCAGCCTGGAAGAGGTAAAAAAGAGAGAGAGAGAAAAGATTTTAGGAAATTAAAAATTATCAAGGGCTGTTACACTGATCCCCACTAAAAAGTCAACATTTGCAATGGTTACTACACAGGTAGATCTGAGATACCGCATGTCATTGTTACAGGGCCAACTGCATCTCTATCCACTCTGTGTTCTCTCTGAGTGCTCTCCCTCAGGTGGCAGGCCTTGTGCCTTTACCCCTCCTGGAGTGGAATTCTATACAGTGATCCAACAGCCTTCTTAAACCAGCTCATTGTTTATTTTTCAGTAGGAACAAAGCATTTAGAGAAAAATAATTTTAAAACAACCATCTACACACAGCTATTTAACCAAAGACTTATCATCCCCTGGTGGTATCCTAGGCAGGCCTAAATTCTTCTCACACCCCTTTGGGTGCTCGTGTCTCACTCTGGTTCCTCCAAACAACTCGAGAGAGAGAGAGAGAGAGAGAGAGAAAGCATGTTCCTTCTTCACCCTCCCAAAAGTCCTTTGTTCTTCTGCATTCCCAGGCCTTTTCCAGCCTTGGCATTGCCTCAACAACTCTCAAGAGTTTGCTTAGAAGTGGCTTATTTTCTGCCATTCTTTCCCTTCCTGCTTGCTTCCCCTTCTTAAACTAAGCCATTGTATCATAGAGTAAACATGCCAATAACCAGGTCAGCATACAGTGCCCATAAGTTATTCCAGAGCATCTCCACATCCATCATATCACAGCCCCCCTTAGAACAGGATATAAACATGGAGCCTGTGTAGTATTGGCTGACAAGTGTTGCCATTTAAATGGCACCCACTGTGCCATCTGCAAGCTGGTTTGCTAGCCTGTGAGGCAGCCTGTCCAGCTTCCACTGGGCTGGTGTCTGCTTCACACAAACTGCCTCCTCCAGTTCGTGCTCGCTGGCCCCCTTTGTTGATACGCTCAGCAGAGAGGCCAATAATTTAGGTTAGGATTTTCAAAAGAGACTCAGGAATTAAGAGCCTACCTTCTAGTGAAATTCAGTGGGAGGTGAAGCCCACATCTTCAAAGGTATTTAGGCTCCTAACTCCCATTGAAATCATTGGGAGTTAGGTGCTTCAATATCTTTGTGCATCTGGGCCTGCATGCTTGATTCCTTTACATTTCCTTGAAAATCCCAGCCTAACTCTGCTTTGAAGATGTAACCCTTGACGTGATAGGTGCCTTAGCTACACAGAGATGGCCTTGCTGGACCAGTGTGAGGCACATTAATGAGAAGCTCACCTTGCCGCTGTCTGGATTGTCATTGTTCTGTGGATAAAGAGAATGCCAGGCTCCAGGGCTGTGCTGCCTGGTATGTTTCATCAACACTAAACTAGACTGAAAATAAAATAAGTGCTCAGCAGTGAGACAAACCACTGAGCAAGAGCCACATGGCTGTGACTGGAAAAAAAAAAAGCAGGACTCCCATACCCTAACCATTACATTTTGGAAGAGTCCAGTCAAGGGAAGGCAACACTGTGCTAACTGAATCAGATCCCCTTATTTCACTCAGAATAGCTCAGTGTAAGATCTGCTCTGTTCAGTTCAAAAAGAGCAGCCTCACCTGAAAGCTCCAGAGCAGATGCTTCCAATCATGTAGTAGACTGTGTAGAAAGTGACCAGGCACAACAGCAGGTGAATGAGGATGATCTGGAAATCAGAGCAGAAAAGCACAAGGATCAGCACATGCAGCAGTGAGAGGGATGTTTATTCCCATCTCACCACAGAAAAAATCTTCAGCAGAGGAGAGTTTCCTGGGAATTCTGTTGCAGCTGCAAACAACTGGATTTGGGCCACCTATGAAATGAAACGCTGTGTTACGTTCATCTGTTTCAGTGACATGTATTTAAATAAATGTCTAGTACTCTACTGGGGTTGTACAAATGTAACAAGGACTCTGGCTTGGTCACTTGCAGGGACTGATGCTGGGAGCTCTGGATCTAAAACCACAAGCCTCTGCTGTCTGAGCTAAAGTAACAGGTTTGTATAGTTCCAGGCAGTAGCAGACTCACAAGCCTCAAGGGAGACAAAATGCCACCCTGTGATAGGGTGATTCCACAAGCAATTACTCCTGGTAAGCATGATGCAGCTACAAATGGATTGTTAATAATCGTACATTTCTACAGCTCCTGTCAAGGATCCCCAACGTCCATCCCCACAATGGACAAATTGTGTCCATCCCCTACCACTGAAATGCAGCCACCTCTGGGTTGGAGGGCAACAGCTAGATAACAACACCACATAACTTAGGAGGCATTTTGGCAAGGGCACCAGGGCAAAACCCCTCCTCTTCCAGTCATTGCCCTGGGATAGTTTGTGTCCACGTGGGACAGACAGGACTTGTTTTTTAACATCTACTTCAGGAAGATGATGCAGGACATACATTCTGCCAATCCACTGAAGTGAATGGATGTTCCACTGAAAAGGTGCTCAGAAAATGGCTCATAGCAGCTGTATTGTGTGCTTTATAAGAGGCAACAGATCCAGTGCAACCTGAAGGAATGGCTAGTTACTCCTGTCTCTGCCCATACCATGGGGGATGGGGAGCAGGGCTGTAGAGTCTGCACCAGCTAGGACATCCCCCTGCACAGGGGTATTCTCAGAAGGTAGGTGTATTTCTCTGGCCCCCATCACCACAGCTACTGAGCTCCTCACAATGTTTAATGTGTTCCTCTCACAACCCCTTTGTGAGGCAGGGCTGGGCTGTTATCCCCATAATACTGATGGGAAACTGAGGCACAGAGAGGCTAAGAGACTTACCCAAAGTCACGCAGGACATCTGTGTCAGAGCAGGGGACAGATCATAGGCTTCCTGCATGCCAGGCAAACACCCTAACCAGCAGGCCATCCTCTCTCCATTCTAGCACCCTGCCCATCTGTTCTTCACTTGACTTGACCCAATATTTTTGTGGGGGTGGAAGCGGTGGAGAATGTATCCAACTGCTCCCAAGACAGTCCCATCCCAGCAGCAGTGCAGAGGGTGAGGGACAAACGCAGGGCCCGAGAATGCCAAAGAGCCCAGATCAGGTTGCAAAGTGCACTGTTGGATAGTTCAGTATGTATGTTTATTGATCTTGGATTAGCTCTTGACAGATCCCAAGCACCTGTGCCTTGACCAGTTATCGGAAGCACTCAGTCTGGGGAGGAGAAAGACAGGTGAGGGGGGCACATCAAGTGTCTGGCTGGGAGACGCACCCAAGGGAGGCAGCTGACGCCTGGTTCCTGTAGCTGGGAATTTCATTTGCATAGTTGGTTTCTCTGCCCCTGCCCCCTAGCTCCCTTTGGATCGAGCCGGGTCAGAGAAGGGGTTATAGGAGTACCAGGGAGAGATGATTCCTGCTTCCCTGCAAGAATTAGCTCCAGTGTGAATTATGCTGCTCGAAACAATTTCACCGGCTGCCTTTTATGTTAATGAAACTTTGCTTTTAACTAAACCACTCCTGCTCCTGGCTGCTCTTCCATCTGCCCCAAGCAGCTCGCCGGCAGGGCTGGAAAAGCCTTGAGCTTCAGCACCTTTGGGAGGCCGATCTTTGGTTTTCTGAAGCAGCAAATTCTCTCCCCTGCCCCCCACTCCCCAGCTCTCCCCCTTCTTTTACCTTTATTGCTTACAGCAGAATCCGTGTCACATGATCCTGCAATCTCATCAGGCCCAGATGGCGCTGCTGACCCATAAACCCTGCCCCAGCCAGCACTGCTGGCTTTGCCCTGCTCCCCAAAGCAGAGCAGCTGTTCCTCTGGGCTTTACCTTGATGCCTGGCACACTGCCGCTTTGGAAGGCCATGCGTGGGGAAGGTTCATAACAGCACAGGCCAGGCTCCAGGACGTGTAGCCCGGGGATATCTCTTGCTGAGATGCTCTAGGAGAGGTAACCCGGGCTTCCGTGGCAGGGGAAGAGAGACGAAGCTGCAACGCCTGCTAGAGGCAAAGATCAGACAGGCAGGGAGAGGAGCCAGTGAAGAGAAAGAAGGCAGCCACTGCTCAGACTGTGTCCAGTCCTGGGATCATTACAGGACATCAGTTTCCAGGGTCTAACACCAGCACCTAGGGTGACCAGATGTCCCGATTTTGTAGGGACAGTCCCGATTTTTCGGTCTTTTCCTTATATAGGCTCCTATTACCTCCCACCCCCTGTCCCGATTTTTCACATTCGCTGTCTGGTCACCCTACCAGTGTCTGGTCACTGCTAATTCTATCTTTGAAGACACCAGAATCTCCTGGTCCGTGTGGAAAAGGATGGATTTGTACCTGATGTATTTCAAGCCCCTTCTTCAGTACTCACGAGTGCAGTGGTCACTGAGGATACAAAATTCTCGTGGTGACCCTGCCAGGTCTCTGCGCATGACACACCCATTGACTTCACTCGGGACTCCCGCTGGCTACAGTGGCAGCCGCCCATGCAGGGCTGGCAGGAAAGACTGGTGCTGCTGGGGTATAGACAAGCACTCAGGGCTCCCTGGCTTCACCAAGGCTGGTGTAAATAGGACCTGGATCACCCAACTGTGAAATGGGGTAACACACCACCAGATCAGGATTGAAGCATTTTACATGATTTGGTGTAAATGACTTTACAAGGTGCAGAGCAAGGAAAGTCAGGCGGCCCCTGTCACGCCACTCTGGGGGGCACAAGAACAGGCAGGGGCAGGAAAATTGGCCAAGCAATAAAGGGGAGTGAGCTGCTGGGACGACCGAGAGTGAGGAGGCAGCTGGGCACTTGAACATGCCAGGGGAACTTTTCTCCTGGATTGACTGAACCACGGGACAATCAGAGAAGCCCAGTCCAAGGGGGTTCAGGGCAAATCAAAGCTGGGAAGAGTGCTGTACAGAAAGGAGACCCAACAGCTGTGAATTTAAGCCAAATTCAGGCTTCATTTTTTGGAGAATGGGATAGTGGTTGATAGTCCCAGCATTAGAGGGAGGAGTTGCGGGGCTGGGGCAGTTGGGGCAGCACCCACTCACCTGGACAGTATTTTAACAGGCAGCTACAATGGAAAGCTCTGTGGCAGAGTCGGTTAGCTCTGGACTGGAATGGAGGGGAGTGAGGTAGGTCTGAACAGAGATGCAGATGGCTGGCTGAGTTATGCGGTGAGGCTAAGACAGCAAGAGCAGTAGGTAGTTTTGGTGCAGATGATTGGCAGAGCTGCTGAGAGGGGGGACAGATCTATACTAGCAGAGGGGTTTGCAAGCCTTGATTGAGACATAGATGTGAGATCTATACAGCTCCTGGTCCTGCTGTGTCCGGCTCTCATTGGTGACGTTAGTTCTTCACTTTGACCATCACTTAATTTGCTCATAGTGCCTCAGAAGAGAAGAAAAACTGAGACATGTGGATGGTTGGAAGAATACAGCTATAGCTTTGTAGCCAGTGAAGAGTTGTAGCCCCAGGACTTAGAAGTGAGGAAGAAAGGATGTGTCCTATTAGCGTGTGAAAAAGATTTGTTATCAAAATGGACCTTCAATTTTTTAATACTCAGAAAATTGCCACAGCGAGAAAACACATCAGAATTTCAACCATGTCAGGGAAAGTTATTGCAAATGACAGCTGGTGCAGCTGGGTCTGATAAGAGATTACAGGAAGAGAGTAGAAGTGGCCTATGCTGGCACACTCTGCTATGGGGAACTGAAGTAACAAAGCTAACCACCTCCCCAGTATACACAGGTGTTTGGAGTCAATGGGATTTGGGCTCACTTACATCAGGCAGTTTTTGGCCCAATATGTCTTGTCCATGGAAAAATTAGGACCAGATCCTCAGCTGGTGTAAATCAGCATAGCTGTATTGACTTTATTTTACTCCATCAACTTCAATGGACCTCTGCTGACTTACAACGGTTAATGAAAAAAGAAAAGGAGAACTTGTAGCACCTTAGAGACTAACAAATTTATTTGAGCATAAGCTTTCGTGAGCTACAGCTCACTTCAGCTCACAAAAGCTTATGCTCAAATAAATTTGTTAGTCTCTAGGGTGCCACAAGTACTCCTTTTCTTTTTGCAAATACAGACTAACACGGCTGCTACTCTGAAAACGGTTAATGAGACAGCCTTTTATTTTGTAGCTAAACAAATGATAGAAAACGATCAGTTAACTGGGATTTTATTGCAAAATCTGAAGACTCTAGCAAAGGTGCTCTCAGAATAGTAACACCATCTAGTCAACAACATGCCCTTGTTGCCAAGAAGGGCAATGGCATTTTGGGATGTATATGTAGGGGCATTGCCAGCAGATCGAGGGACTTGATCGTTCCCCTCTATTTGACATTGGTGAGGCCTCATCTGGAGTACTGTGTCCAGTTTTGGGCACCACGCTACAAGAAGGATGTGGAAAAATTGGAAAGAGTGCAGCGGAAGGCAACAAAAATGATTAGGGGACTGGAACACATGACTTATGAGGAGAGGCTGAGGGAACTGGGATTGTTTAGCCTGCGGAAGAGAAGAATGAGGGTGGATTTGATGGCTTCTTTCAACTACCTGAAAGGGGGTTCCAAAGAGGATGGCTCTAGACTGTTCTCAGTGGTAGCAGATGACAGAACAAGGAGTAATGGTCTCAAGTTGCAGTGGGGGAGGTTTAAGTTGGATATTAGGTAAAACTTTTTCACTAGGAGGGTGGTGAAGCACTGGAATGCGTTACCTAGGGAGGTGGTGGAATCTCCTTCCTTAGAGGTTTTTAAGGTCAGGCTTGACAAAGCCCTGGCTGGGATGATTTAGTTGGGGATTGGTTCTGCTTTGAGCAGGGGGTTGGACTAGATGACCTCCTGAGGTCAACAGTTTGGAGGAGGCACCAGGATGTCAGTCTGTGAGCACATGGCTAGAATGTTCGCTGCAGTTGCAGCAGCTTTGCAAATGGTTCTCTTAATAAAGAGCCAGTTTAGTTTAACAAGCCTGGAGCCCTTTCATGTTATTGCCCAGAATGCAGTTACAAAACACCTGCTACCTCGCTTTCCCTCCTTCTACAGGCAAACAAAACCCCCACAACGGGCGCCTTGGTGTTATTCTCCTCTTTTAAAGTCTGGTTTATTAACCTAAAAACTAGAAATTCCCAGCCTTTTTCTAAAGGCCCAGCAGGTTCACTATGTCGTTCCTGGGCTTCTAGGCTTTTCCCTAGGGCTGACATGGAGAGCTTCTTCCACAGCCCTCCCTGACTCTGGGTCCCCTGGAGGTCTTTCTCTTCTTTACCCTGGTGCCCAAGTCTGCTCTGGAGCAACCTCCTTTAAGTCTGTCATAGCCCCTGGTTGCCATCTTTAATGCAGCAGACTCCCTCTTTTAGGAAGTACACACACACACACAAGCTGTCATCTTGCGATGCCTGTTCATGTGACCCAACAACTGGCCTAAACTCAAACCCCTTCCCTACAGGTGACCAGGCACTAGGGGGGCTAAGGGGGGCATGAGGGGGCACTACCTCCTGGAAATTTCTTTGCGCTTTCTGTAGTATGTGTTCCATTTTCCCCACCGCGTTTCTTAGTCTGAGGCCAGGTCTATACTACAGACCTATATCGGTATAACAGTGTCACTCAGGGGTGTGGGAAATGTGTGAGACAAACTCAGCAGTGGCAGATATGTTTTCAAATTGTAAGATTCTATACAATTTTTTTCACAGGCATGAAGTGATGTGCTGTACAAAGGCCAGCACCTGGAAATACTCATACTGTAGAAACAAGATAGACTGGTCACCTAAAAACCTTGGAATTCATCCTCAGTAATTTGGAAGAGATTCAGAGTATTCTGTCAAACTATGTGAATGGATATTAGGAAAAACTTTTTCACTAGGAGGGTGGTGAAGCACTGGAATGGGTTACCTAGAGAGGTGGTGGAATCTCCATCCTTAGAGGTTTTTAAGGCCCAGCTTGACAGTTGGGGTTGGTCCTGCTTTGAGCAGGGGGTTGGACTAGATGACCTCCTGAGGTCTCTTCCAACCCTAATCTTAGAATCATAGAATATCAGGGTTGGAAGGGACCTCAGGAGGTCATCTAGTCCAACCCCCTGCTCAAAGCAGGACCTAATCCCCAACTAAATCATCCCAGCCAGGGCTTTGTCAAGCCTGACCTTAAAAGCCTCTAAGGAAGGAGATTCCACCACCTCTCTAGGTAACCCATTCCAGTGCTTCACCACCCTCCTAGTGAAATAGTTTTTTCCTAATATCCAACCTAAACCTCCCCCATTGCAACTTGAGACCATTACTCATTGTTCTATCATATGGTTCCACTGAGAACAGTCTAGATCCATCCTCTCTCGAACCCTCTTTCAGGTAGTTTCTATGATTATATGATATGGTGACCTGTCCATTGAAGCAAGACGGCTGTTGGAAGTTACAGAATCATCCAAATTCTTGTCCTTAGCTGAGGTTAAGAGAATGATTTTGAAAGTTTTTGCTCCTATGAACAATCACCTTCAAAAGGAACTAATGCATCTTGCTAAAAGAGTTGAACAGTTAACTGTTGCCTGTGAAGAACTTCAATGGAAGAAAGATGTTCGAAGATTTTTCTCAGATTTCATCTGAGCACTTGGTTTTGAGAAATGCATGGGATGAAGCATCAATATTAAGATGTGCCACCAAAACAGCCAAGGTATTGCCCCCAAAATGTCAAGATTCCATAGTCACTGACGACTTACTAGGATTCCAATGTGTAAATGAGCATCAGTGGTCCCAGACTTACATGAATTGATTGCAGAAACCACTGGTGAATTGCAAAGGTTTTCTGCAAAGAACTCCAAGTTATACAAAAGCTTGTCAGCAATCTATTCCACCAGCTCTCCAGACCTCTTGAAATTGGAATCAATGCATGCTTTGATTGACTTGCTTGGATTAGATATTGAGAAAGTTCAAATTGAAATGGCTGGATTTAAATCACTGATAGATAAGAGAAATTGCAAAGAATTTGAAGAAGTTCTTGGTGCTGTCAAGGAGGCTTTCCCATGTATTTTTGAAATGTCTATAGTGGTCTTATTTGGAGAAACAATTGCAGCTTGTGAAAATTCCTTTTCTCATTTGAAAAGAATTTT